CAGGGGTAGGTCACGGCCACGGGAATCATGGAGGAGATGCGTGGAAAGGGACATGAGAGAGATGAAGCTCACTTGGAACGAGCTAGGAAGGATGGCCCAGGGCAGAGATAAATGGAAGGAGCTTGTATATGGCCTATACCCAGCAAGGGGTGAAAGGCATTGATGATGATGATATCATACCTGTGCCCATACCGACGACCCTCATCTTGCCGTGGTACTCCAGCACAAAGGTGGCGGCTATCTTGTCCTTGCTGTAGTTGATGAACTGCGTCTCCTCGGCCGTGTCCAGCACGTGACGTGACACCAGCACCACGCGGTGCGCGTGAGAGCCCACCTCCTCTTGCGTCATCGTTCGGAGCTTCTTGTGCTGGGGAACACACAAGGGTTTAGGAAAGAGTTTTACGGCACTTGCAACACAAATAGGTCATGATACAATAATAATAATAACAAATAATAATAATTATATCATCATCATCATCATCATGATAACAATAATGATAATAATATTAGTAATAATAGTAATAATAACAATGATAATAATAATAATGATAATAATAATAATAAATTAAATATTTATATAGCACACACCAATGCTTTACAGAATGACTATGTGCTTTGCAACGGTAAGGGTCGAATATGTCAAAAATAGGCCGCACTATTTATTGAGCTGCGGGAGAAAAATAAGAATCTAAGTTGATATCATATCTGCTGCCGTACGCTTTGATTTGATTTTAGTACACATTATGTTTTAGAGCACGTGTAACATAAAAAGGTCCCACAAGAGCCCCGAACATGTCAAAAAGGAAGAGCCCCGGGCCGAATATGTCAAAAAGGCTACATTAGTTATTGAACTGTGGGAGAAAAATCAGGAGGAGCGAGTTCAGTAGAAGGTTTATCAGTCTACCACAGGACCGGTCTGACAACTGGTTGAGTTGAAGGTCTACAGCCACGTTTCTGGTTTCGTTGACGGTCTACCTCTGGATCAGTCTTTTAGTTCTATTAAGAGTTTTACGGCACTTGCAACACAATAAGGTCATATAAGTGCCGTGGACCAGTCTAACAACTGGTTTAGATGAAGGTTTACCAATTTATACGGGCCTGGGACATTTGACAAGGATCAGGTCACGGTAGACATTCAACTAAATCGGTACCCAAAGTCAACAGTTGCGTCGCGTTACACATAATACAATCCCGAGTCCTTGTGCAAACAAATAACGTCGTCACCAATAGACATTCCTACGCAGATAAGATAACAAATAACACAACTTTTGAGATAGAGAGCCTGATCCGTCGTTATGTCCGTGGGAAAGGCAATTTACACGAATCCACCCCCACCCCCACACCCTCTTCTCATTGTCTTTTTTCTTTTACATTATCATGGCACTTTCAGACGGCCACCTATCTACAACAGCCACTTTTTTCCCGCGACACATTATGACGTAACCATCTTAGACAATTTCGACCCTAAATATACACCCTATATGTCCTTGACCGAACAGACGACACAGAGTGTGACGTCACAGATGGACATTCTTGGGCCGACGAGATAACGATTAACATAACGTCTGAGATAGAGACAGTCTATGTGCTGGAACAAATAAATAAATAACGGACAGCGGTCAACAGTCGTGTCGTGTTACAGATACACACGATATATTATTTATAGGTCATATTATACGATGTACACCGTTGTCCTTGACTTAACAGACTATGTACAGCGAGTGTGACGTCACAGATGGGCATTCTAGAGCAGACGGGCAAAGGTCAATGAGAGTATGAGCTGGGACGTGTTCTAATGCGTGTGCACAATAATATTATGCTTACGTGCGGGCGCACACGCACTAAGCAGGCGCACGTGCGCGTTATCAAGCCCATGCGCAAGTGCGCGAAGAAATGTGTAAGAAGTATGTCCGTTTGTATCATTCTATGTGTTCGTATCATTTAGGTAAATGGTCAAATGTATCATGTATGTATGTATATGTATCTATATGAGTGTATGTATTAGTGTGTGCGCGTGTACGTGAGTGCACGGTGTTTGTGACGAGCGTGTATGCGCGACAGCGAAAAAGCGTGAGCATGCACGTTAGTGTGTGTATGCGCGACAGCGAGAAAGCGTGAGCATGCATGCTAGCTAGTTTGTGTATGCGCGACAGCGAGAAAGCGTGAGCATGCATGCTAGTAAGTGTATGTGTGAGTGAGTGTGCGTACACATTAATGAACATGAGAGCATCATCATAATCATCATATCATCATCATCATCATAATCAGCAGCAGCAGCAGCACCACCACCACCACCATCATCACCATCAGCAGCAGCAGCAGCGTGGAGGACTCACCGCCATCTCGTTGCACATCTCCAGGTTCCGGCGGCCCCTCTCGTACATGATCTTCAGCGCATGCGCGGCCGCAGCCTTCTTGGCGTTCTTCTTGGAGGAGCCGGAGCCGATGGGGAACGTCTCTGTGTCCACGATAGCCGC